ACACACACACACACACACACACACACACACACACACACACACACACATCCTCATGCTAGACATACACATAAGAAAAGCATAGGAGAAGGGGCGGAGCGCGGTCGCACCGGCACATCGAGCCAGAAACAGCTGCCGCCGGGATGGATGTGTTTCTCAGGATCCAGCGTCACAAGACCACCATCTTCACGGACACCAAGGAATCGAGCACCGTGTTCCAGCTGAAGCGCATCGTCGAGGGCATCTTCAAGCGGCTGCCGGACGAGCAGCAGCTGTACAAGGATGACCAGCTCCTTGATGACGGAAAAACTCTGGGTGAGTGTGGCTTCACTAGCCAGACAGCACGAGCACAGGCCCCAGCCACAGTGGGCCTGGCCTTCCGAACAGAGGATGCCTTTGAAGCCCTGAGCATTGAGCCCTTCTCCAGCCCTCCAGAGCTTCCAGATGTTATGAAGCCACAGGATTCTGGAGGAAGTGCCAATGAACAAGCTGTGCAGTGAGGGCCCCAGGCCCCAGGCCCCACCCACTAGAGACCCATTTCCCCAATTAAAAAAAAAAAAAAAAAAGAATAAGAAAGAAAACAAAGGTGGAGAAATAACCATTTGTATGTTCTATATAGGCAGCAGGCAGCCAGTTTCTAAGCCACCATGTTCTCCAAGTAGGTTTTATATGACTGAAATTGTCCACATGTGCTTTATAATCTCAGCTCTTCTTCAGGTTTTGGGAGTAAACCAAATCCATTGCCATGAAGTCATACTCTGGCCTTTCTGTGTTCTCAGTATCACAAAAAGTTGAAAGCTTGAAAACAATTTTTAGTATACTTTCTTGCAAATGATGCTTAAGTGGTCCTCTTGGAGGAACTTTCTAGAAATTGCACATGAAGAAAGGACTAGTTTATTATGGCTGCATCTCTGGTGGGACAGGAGCTGGGAATTTTGGTGCTGGAATCACTGTTGGCTTCAATAGTAGTTAGGGATCATTCCAGTCTGGCAGCTTTGAGGATGTTAAGAGAAACTTCATTGGTGGTAATTAGCTCAGAAGCAAAGGGCCTAACTACAATGATAGTAAGCAACTTTCTAACCCACAGGCCAAGACCCTTCTTTATAAAAACGTTTTTGTTTGTTTCAGTGTATGAGTCTGTGTGGCTGTTTGTCTGTATGTTACCATATGTGTTGAAGTGACTATGAAAACTAGAAAATAGTGTGTGATCCATGGAAATTATTTACTAGTAATTGTGAGGCATGTATAGTAGATGCTGGAAAACAGATCTGAGGCCTCTACAAAAGCAGCAATGCTGTTAACCATTGAGCCATCTCTCTAGCTCCAAGCTAAAGATTTGTCAGTCATTTACTTCATTAGCCTTTATGCCATTGTTCTAACTCAACAGCTACATAAACTAACTTCCCTAAAGCATTCAGAACAGTGTGCACAGAGAAAGAATTAGCAGAGCTTTGCTATATTGAATGGGACTTTCATCTCTACTGAAAAGTAAACTATTTACATTTAAAATGAAAATTAACCTTTCCTCCAGATCACTAAATTTCAACATTGAACAACTAAGGGATAAATGGTGATTTTATTCCAACAAAGTTTCCCAATCTTCTAAAAGACTACTTTCCTTTCCAAGCTTCTTATTTCTGATGTCAACACCTTTGCTCTCCTGGTCACTGGTGATGGCAGTCTTGGTTGTCAACTTGAATACATCTGGACTCTACTAAACCCAAGCTGGTGGGCAGGCCTATGAGGGATTTTCTTGGTTGGAACATTTGAGGCTGCAACAGCCTAAATTTGGCCCGCACCCTTCGGGGGCGGCCTAGGTGAAAGGACACGGGAGAAATGGAGCTTCTGTTTTTTCTTGCTTGCCTCACTCTCACTGGCAAGTTCCTCTATCCTGTTGTTGAGGCAGTCCTTTTAGGCATTATAATCTACTTCTTCAGGACTCTACCTAGAGACCAGCAAGATACTCAGCATTGTAGATGGAAGAACTATTGGATTATTCGCTATCCAACATGATGTAGAAGTTGTTGGATTAGCCAGACCACACCAATAAACCACACTTGTAAATCCCCTTTTAATTTATGCAATCTGTCAGTTCTGTTCCTCAAGGAAGCCCTGACTATTACCCCATCTCTAGGACTTTGTAAGTAATGCCTTCTCTGCTGTAGTGAAACTTCCTTTCCTCTGATTCTACCCCTTGTGGATTATTTTCTCTTCCCTGATTTTCATACTCCTTTCTGTCAACATATTCCACTAACTTTTAACTTGAAAATCAACATACTACATTAACCTTAATCAACCTCCCAACTTTTCATTCTTCTTTAGTCACTGCCAAATTGTAAGAACAAACAAAAAACTTTTCCCTTAAACTAATTCTTTCAAGTCCTATTTCCTATTTGGGCTTCAGCTTTCCAAGTATTCATGAAGCCCCAGATGGCAAGCATCATTCTTCAAACCAAGGACTAATGACAGTAGAGCCTTAAAATTTTACCTTGGCAAAAATTCTTGTATTAACTTCAATTTTGTTTCCTTTTGTGTCCTGAGAATTATACTCAGGGCCTCTCTGCCACTGAACCACAAATTCTAGCCTTTGCTTTTTTCTTTATATTCTAAAAGAGGTTCTCATTGATTTTTCCCAGGCTGGACTTGAAATCATTTTGTAATCCAGACTGATCTTCAGCTTGTGTTTTTTTGTTTGTTTATTTGTTTGTTTGTTTGTTTTTGTTTTTTTGCCTCGTACCCCAGATTGGTAAGATTGTAGACAAAGCCAACAAGCCTGGCTGAATCTTGTATTTTGAGATTCTTTACATACAGATGTTTCCGTCTCCAGTCAAATATTGACTCTTATAGATTAGTCATCAATAAATCATTCCATCACTGTCTGTCCTTTTATCACAATGCTCATGTGCATGTTCTTAAAGACTGAAAAGCAGTAATGATATAATAAATTGACATGGAAGCATTTATTAGATTAAACAGCAGTGAGCTTTACTTTGGTCTTTGCATATTTTACACACTAGAAAGATATTGATAGAATAGAATATTTAGATGTCTTAATGTATTCAACCCAATCACATATTAATATGACACTACTATGGCTCAGTTCTTAGATATCTCTGCAATGACCTGTCCTAAAAGACTGTTTGCAAGTTTGTGGTGCAACTGGGAGGTGGTAGCAACTTTAGAAGGTGATAAATAATAGAAACAAGTTAGGTCATTAGAGTAGTTTCCTCACAAAGACTCTTAGCTCCTTGTTCTCTTTGATTTCTGAATGCAATGTGATGAACAGATCCAAAAATATCATAGATAGGAGACCATAGTCTGAAACCAGATTGCAAAATACCTCTTTCCCCTTGTTGTTTTCCTTAGTTATTTGTCACAACAAAGAAATACTAACAAGTTAGCATTTATTAACAGCTTTAATAACACCAATTCTCATAAAACTAGCTTTTTAACTGAAATGTTTTCACATCACATTAGTGATGCGGCAAGAAAAAAGTAAAAGGAAACAATAAAAAGGGGTCAAAAAAGATGTTTACATGGTCATATGATCTGAGAAGCTTTGGGAATAAACATAAACGTTCCAGTTTCTTGAATGTCAGACTGACTTTTTACTCACAGTAATTAGGTCAAGTTGATGCTGTAGCCTAGCTTCTATTTCATGATGAAATTCCTCACAAACTGATGGTGAAAAGTCTACTTGTGTCCAAATTTTGACTGCTTTTATTCAGGTGCATATGAGAAATTTATGATGAAAAATGTATATTTTTATTTTATTATTTTGTTTACATTTAATTTTACTGCAGTGTTATTTTAGTGATAAATACATTTTTAAGGAAGAAATTTGTAATTTAAAGCTGAATATTTGTTTACTTAAAAGATTTAGAAATTTGAACAGAATTCTTTTTTTTTAATTTTATTTTTTTCTTATCAGTTACATTTTATTAACTCTGTATCCCAGCCGTATCCCCCTCCCTCATTCCCTCCCAATCCCACCCTCCCTCCCTCATCCCCACTGTGCCCCTTTCCAAGTGCACTGATAGGGGGGACCTCCTCTCCATTCATCCAATCCTGTTTTATCAGGTATCTTCAGGACTGGCTCCAAAGTCCTCCTCTGTGGCCTAGCAGGACTGCTCCTCCCTTGGGGGGTGGGGAGGTCAAAGAGCCAGCCATTGAGTTCCTGTTACAAATAGTCCTTGTTCCCCTCACTATGGGAAACCAATTGGTTACTGAGCTACCACAGGCTACATCTGAGCATAGGTTCTAGGTTACATCCATACATGGTCCTTGGTTGAATGTCAGTCTCAGAAAAGACCCTGTGCCCAGATATATTTGGTCCTTGTGGAGCTCCTATCCTTTCCCCATCAGACTAACTCCCCTTCTTTCATATGATTCCCTGTACTCTGCCGAAGGTTTGGTCATGAGTCTTTGTAATTGCATATTTGAGGTGATAATTTTGGTTTTATTAAGAATACAATTCCTATTGAACAGAATTTTATGCATGCTTTTCAAAACATGTAAACTATAGTGTCTAGGGAGGAGATGAGGGAGAGAGGGAGGGTTTGGGAGGGAATGATAGAGTGGGATACAGCTGGGATACAGAGTTAATAAAATGTAACTAATAATAAAATATAAAATTAAAAAAAGAAAATTGAAAAGCAAAGGGACAAACTGAATAAACATACAAGTAATCCTAGCCAAATCAGAGTTTGATAACATCCCAAATTCTAGACAGGCCTAGGCTACACAATTACTTTATGGTAACACTTTAGAACTTATTTTGTAAAATGAAAAAATAAACAGGGCTAGAACTATAGCTCAGTGGCTAACACCCTTTATGTCAGCAGCTCCAATTTCTGTTCCCAGTACCACAGACAACACCAACAAGACACTTGGAGACAGAATCACCTTACCATCGGGATGGTACTGTGTAGAGGTAGAACTCATAAAATTACATGTAAATTGCTCCTAGAGTGTCGTGACCGCCTCGACCATCAAGGAAGACGCAACACTGGACTCTTCTCAATGCAGTTTCTTCAGGAACCTTGAACAATCTTCTCTACCTCAGGAAGCCCAGCTCCCCAATTAAATAGCCTATGGCCAGCCAATCCCGACAAGCTACGTGGCGCCTGCAGATTAGTCCACAACTGCGGAAGCGAGCCCGATGCACATGCACAACCAATTAAGGAATTGATTACCGAGAGCTTTTGCCTACCAGAGGCGGAAGCCAGCGCCATCTTTAGGGCGCGGCAGAGCTTGGCTCTCCACACTAGAGCATCATGGAATCCAGTGGCCCACAAGAACTTGTTTCAAACTATGAGCTGTAACCCAGGTCATAAATTACATTTATTTATGGAGCAACTGGTTCCTACAGAAAGAACTCCTTTTGCAGATGCCAGAATTGCTAGTTTCTGACCTTTTGAAGCAAGAGATTTAGTGAATAGTATTTGAAGCATAATTATTTTTTTTTGCTAAAACATATTAATCTTACAGATTAATGGTATTTACTGGATCATT